TTTCTCTCTCTCTGTCTTTCTCTCTCTTTCCCTTCCTCTTTTTCTTTTATTCCATATTGAAAAAAAATAGCTTAGCTGGATATAACACACGCATTTCCTTTTTTCTTATCAGTCGTTTCTCACTTCAGGGAATCTCATCAAATGATTCCAATATAAAATCATATCATTTACTCTTCATCTCTATTCTTATTTGCAGATCATAATCTTCACACTTAATTTTAACTATACTGCTGTGTATATATCATCATTTCATAAATTACCTACTGAAGTCATTTTTGCAGTATGAATAGTTAGTTCCTGGTGAGCTTAAAAGGAACAACACGTCTTACCTTTTCTTATTCAATAGAAATTAATAAGTGTTAATTGCTTGACAATAAATCATACAGTGAAGATAATTATTAAGTTTATTTTTCAAACATTAGTTGTTTATATCAATGTTTGATCTTACAAATCCATCAACTGATTTATATTCAAATCCGTATGTATCAACAGCATATCGGCCATTTCCATCAGCTCCACCACCTTCGTTTCTATTCAATATACCAACTTCTACTGATGATCAACAACAACAACAACGTTTCACAGATTTTTCCTCATATCCAAATCCAACACAAGATCTTATGTAAAATTTCTTTCATTCAATTTTATTGTGATTTTATATACATATATATATATTTAGGGCATATCCAATGTTCGATCCCGAACAGTATACAAATAATCAATATCATTCACGACATATTGATCCAACAAATCAAACAGCATTTTTACCATATATATATCCATCATATCGTCCTGGACTTCATTCAACATCATCTAATAATATAGTTAATGATAAAAATGACAGTCATATTTGTAAATGGATTGATCCTGATACAAATCAAATGTGCAATCGAATATTTTCTCATATGCAAGATATTGGTAAGAATAAAAGAAAATGATGTTAATAAATTTTTCATATTGATCATATTATTCTAGTAACTCATTTAACTATTGAACATGTA